TAACGAATTTTTGATTAACAAACTGACCGATTTCAAAGCTCACCGCTGTACAGGAAAAAATTTTATCTCCAGCGCGCGAGACTGTATATCGGAAATTCAAAACATATGTTCTTTTTAAATATTTTGTGATACTGCTGTCGAATTGAATTTAATGATTTAAGTGAGAATAACATAATATTTAATATATAAACGTAACAGACAAAACGTTAAAAAAAGCCCATTTGGGCGTATTATAAAATCTGAAAGCTTAAAGATTATAATTTTTTTAAATTTTTTTAATATATTATCAAATTTATATTAAACTACTAATTTTGCTTTTAATAATGCGCTGTCAGTTTTCAAAGAATAAACCTTTTTTCGTTTCCCCAATATAATGTCACAGAAAATTTGTTTAGAAACTATACTAATTTTACAGATTCTTCTAAATTCTAATTTTGCAGATTCTTTTGTTCTAAAATTGAGTAAAATCTAAAAGGATCATTTTCAGCCTTTTCTGTTCGTAGGGAAAATTATTATCTAAGTTGCTTACATGTAAATATCATTCGTAATGTGAGAGATTGAAACAAAGCATCGAATAGAATAGAGACGTCCAAACTTTATACAACATATCAGATATACTGTTTCCGTATTCATATTATTCAGTCCTGCTTCTAAAAGAGTCAAATGCAGTGGTTATATTTCTTATTATTAAAATTCGTTTCATACGGCTCATTCGGAAACACTGACTCGTTCACTGTTAATTAGCAAAAAATTATATATCTGAATTGTCAAATACATTTTTATGTTATTTTCCCTTTTAACATACTGCGGAATCACACAGACACATAACACTTCATATGCTAATGATTTGACTTCACACATATCATCACTGCTTTGGAGGGAATTTGAGCTTTCGTTTGTAAGTTCATTCCAGTTTATTTCAAAATATTTATTTTAATTAATTCTAAGATTTTTGTTTCAGTATCTTTTGAGAAAATAACAAGTGGAATCATCAAATGCCTTTCGTTTATAGTAACTTTGTAGTTGTTATTATCAGTTGTGTAAAACCTATTCACATTTGTATTCCTTTCAAATTCCATTTCAACGTTAAAACTTGTAATAACCCTTATGCGTTGGTTTAGGAAGTTAAACCTGTGTTTCAAGAGTGTACAGAAGTTGTTCGCACACTATTTAGACGACTTTGCTTTGCTATTAGAAAACAATCGCCTTCTTGGAAAATTCTTTTAACTGCAACTATTTTTGAAAGTGTAAATAATTGTCTGGTATTTGATAATATTTTTTGTCATCAAAATGGCGTTTTTAAAGAAGCCATGGACGGAAGGCTATGTTTGTGCTCTTTCCGGAGAAAATTATTCGTATTTTGTTACTAAAAAATGCTGTCGAAGCCATGTTTTTTCGGTATCCAAAGAAATGATAGCTTGCCAATGAGAGAGAAAAAACACGTCAAAGTTTGGCTTTAAGAAGAAAAAATTGTTCAGAATACATATCCAAGGAAAAAACGGAATGATTTAAAAGTTGCAAAAGTACGACTGTTAATGTTAAAAGAAAATCTCCGAAGTCAAAGGACAGTTGCATAATCATTAAAATGCTCAGTATCAAATGTAAGCAAAGTGATTAAAGCTGATTTGAATCTTAAAAAGGTTAAAAAACGCAATGTGCATCGTCTTTCTCCACAACATATCGCCCAAAGTAGAACGCGTTGCAGAATTTTCTGTGAGAAACAGTTATTCGAACAGAAATGGGAAAATGTTGTCACGATAGATAAATTCTAGGTATATTTAAATGACCTCAATAAAAAGAGATCCATTTATTATCAACAGAGATAAGAAGAAAATCTTAGAACATGGTTCAAAGAATATAAAGAAAGTTCTTCAAAGGTATTTGTATAAGGGGATATAACGACAAATAATAATTAAAGACAGTGCAGAAAACTATTAAGGTCAACTCCACATATTATGAGAAACATATTTTGTAGCCAATTTCCAAATATGAAGTACTTTCTATTTACCTACAATGTCATGAATCAGTACAACTGCATCAAAACAAAGCAAATAGCCGCAAGTTAAAATCCACTGTTCATTTGGGGAAAAAAATAGAACAAAAAACAAGTATCAAGCCCATACCCTTCACTCATATCGCTACCAAATCTTCTGATGTATCATGCCTGTATTTTTGCGCTGTTGGACTTTTATAAAGCGAATTGTCCAAACTTTAACCTACAACCCTTGTAGAACTTTAAATTTTTGAAGAGGAATGGAATAAAAGACCTCTTTTCGTACTAAAAAATCTGATGTGAACACCGCATGACTTCCTTGTACGGAGTATTAAATTATATGCATTTTTTCTTTCATTTCATTTAAACTTATTGTATTGAATTAAATCTACTTCGTCGATAGCGCATAAACCACAATAGAATAAATGCACTCTTTAAAATTCACTATATTCGTTTACCATAACGACACTCTGGCGCTAGTTTCACTTAACAGCGTTATATTTCGTTCATATTATAACTCAGAATGCACAAAATTTTATATCTTTTGAAGAATTATCTAATCGTTGCTACAGGTTCTCTTCAAAAACTATAATAAATCTAGAACAATGTATAAAAAATGTAGGGTTTATATTTATTTTAACTAACATTTATTTTAAGTTTAAACTATCTTTCCTGTCAAGCCTTACTTTCCCCTGGAACTGCCATGCCAGAATATGTAATTTGAGTAGAACGCGCAAGGATTCAAAGTAGCGAAGTATTATGATTTAATAGGAGGAACGGTTCGGAGTGTGATATTCTTACTTCACGAGCGCGGAGGTAGTTAGCGAGAAATTGAAGCACCCCGCGTTTCGGCCTATGTGCTTGGCGGGAAGTAGTGTTAATCGTTCAGTGAGCTTCAAGTCTGCTGAATTAGCAGCGGTATTGTAAAACGCGGTGAGTTAGTTATTTTAGAGAGCCTCGTAGTTAGAGTCTTGTCTTTAGTTTTTTTTTTTTCAGGTTATTATTTTTATTGGACCGCCGAGTTGGCGCAGTCTGTGGGCGTCAAGAGCACGCAATTGTAATTTTTACGCTGAATAAAAAGGGACTTAAACCCTTCACAGGACTCTGTATTTTATCCAGTTTTCACAGTCACCTCTTGGTTGCGTGCAAGTTGGAGGCGCGCAACGTTACAAAGAAATTAAGCAAACAAAACAACAAAGAATAGTTTTTCACAGACGATTCAGTATTTCTCATTCAATTAATTCAGTTCTCACTTCACGACAAGGCAAAAACACATAAAAACTCAAAACATCTATATTAAAAATTACGAAGTAAATCTTAAACACTTATTTCCTCGAAAAAATTCCAGAAAGAATTAAGCATGATTTAATTCGCAATAATAAATGAAGGCGTTAGCTTTGGTGTTGCGAAGCTGTCTCTCTAGTTTCGCAACAAATCTACTATTCTGCTTTTTCAAATGTAAACAAATATATCCGCCACGTTATTTAAAAATTAGCACTTAAAAAGCTTTTAATGTTGATAATTGTACAATATTCCTGCAAATTTTCCTAAAGCAAAAAACCTTAACCGGAAGATAAGAACAACATAATTCAATCATTTTTAAGCAAAAAATAACATTTTACAAACATATAAGAGTAAAGAAACTGAGATCACTGAGCCGGTAACAGAGTGGATATATATATATATAATATTTTATATACGTTTGGTGCAGCCGATTGCAACCAAAATACGAGGTGCACATCTACATGTTATAGCAGTCCTATATACAAAATTTCAACATTCTGAGGCTACTCGTTTTCGAGTTATGCGAGATAGAGAATTTTTCGTGGTGTCTGTACGTACGTGGCGTCTGATACGTCACGAAAAATTTTCTTCAGATTCATTTTAAAGCAGTTTTATCATTTTTTTCAAGAAAAAAAGTCTTTTATTCTGTCCTTACGTACAGATGTCACGCAAAAGCATCGTTAAATTGCATTCGATAGCGGTCAAAATGGATATTTTCGTTGAAATATGCTGCCTGAAACATTTCGTGATTACAATACTTCCTTTTTAATTCGTACAAGGAAGTAAAAAGGCTTTATTGTCTTTGAAATTACGTTGTATAAAGATAGTGAAGAATAAGGGTTATCAAATGGAACATTTAAAACTCAAAACGTTTACGTAAAATATTTCTATAAATGCAATGAAATTCGTCTAAAAAATGTGCGAATGTCTGTATAAATCTGTATATTCGCCCAAATTTTTAATCTCAAACTCATTCGATATTTTTTGGCTAGCTTATATTCTTCACAGGAGCATTTACTTTTATTTAATAAAATAACGAATTTTTCTTGAGATGGTGGTTTTATTACTGGTAATGCTGTGTGATTTATTAAAGAGTAAAAATTTTTCTTTTTCCCAAATAGAGTGTCACAGAAATTTGTTTAGAAACCATATTAAAATTACAGATTCTTCTCTGCTCTGAGATTACGTAAAACTTAAAAAGATCATTTTGAGCCTGCTCATAGTGAAAATTAATATCTAAATTAGCGCTTTCTCAACTTTCCCTGCCCTTATTGTTTCTATCTTAAACCATGCTAAACAGGTATAAATAAACTTTAGAGCTTTTATGTCTTAAACCACAAAGCTTTATGACGACAAAACCGTCGTCTAAACGAAGCACGAATCTCTTAATCTGACTCTATTTAAGATTAACGTTAATCTCACCAGTTGCCAGGCAGATGTATACCAAATTCAAAAATGCCATGTAAATGCCAAATTCAAAAATGTAAATACTAAATTCAAAAATGTAAATACTAAATTCAAAAATGTAAATACTAAATTCAAAAATGAGTTTTGATTTAGTTTGGGGATACTTCATTCGCTTGGTAGGAGCAGTGTTTGAAAATATTCAAATGCTGTCCAAATAACAATTTAAATGCACAAACAGAGGTCAGTCAGATATTTTGATCTAATTTACTAAGCTATTTCTTGAGTCTAATGTACTGATAGCTTAAACATGTTTTAGGAAAAGTCGAGCATTCTACAATCTCTGAAAGAAGGGGCCCAGTATTACTATGAAAAGCTTAATAGTGTTGAAGGTTTATCTTGCAGTAAAATAGCTGGATCTATATATGCATTTCCAAAGATTGAACTTTCAAAGAAAGCCTTAGAAGAAGCTCAGGTAAGTAATGGCCCTTGGAATATTAAATCACTGAAATTCACATTAATTGAGAATCACAGCGAAGATTTAAAGTCATTTAAGTAAACAAAAATTGTAGGTGTAATGCGAAGGATGCTTTCATGGATAACATTCTCAAAGAAACCGACTCATATTCATGTTATACAAGAGAAATCACGAAAATAAAACCGTCAGCCCATAATCCTAGGATTTAAACCATGATTTGACCAGCGTACAGCGGTCTTATTTACTTGGCCACATTTATAAGTAGAGAGAAGAGACAAAACAAACTCTTATCATTAGACACCTCAATAAATTTACATGTTAATAAACAGCAATGAAATTTTAACAGTAAATGGATTAAAATATGTTAAACGCAATGGTGTTACTAAACGCCGCTCTCAGAGTCATTATCAGCGTATATGTTAATGAAATGTGATCCGAAAGATATCGCTACCCCAAAAGTCGTACTATGCCACCCCAAAAGTCGTTACGTAATAGAACAATGGGTTTTAAGTAAAGGAGATTAATGAGTTCATACTTTGATGTGTTGCCTCATACAGTGTTTATTAATTTCTCAACCCCGACACTTTGCGAGTGGGAAAAACAATACTTGGTTTGGTTATAAGTGAAATGAGCATCACGTCACGAAACTGAAGCCAAATCAATGTCAACATCGTGCGTCAGAACTTATCATGGCCGCCGTATAGCGTTCACATAAAATTACGAAATTTTGGTCTACTTAAACTGTGATCATGTAGTAACTTTTCACATGGGTAAAATGGGAAACTGGTGCGTAAGGATGCACCAATCATACCGGCTTATGAACCAACTAGTATTACATTTCTTCAGTGATTGCTTCAATTGTTAATTTTAAACTTTCTGTGAATTCTTTTCTAAGATAACTTCCGAAAACACCACGTATACTTTTCTGTAATAGTTAGCTCAGACACATTTTAATGTATAAGAAATCTATTAAATTTGGAATAGTTAGCCATTTGCAGTCTTTCTGATTTTTCTATGTACGAACTAGAAAAATTATCCAAAGTAAGTATGAAAATTAACACACTTTAATGTATAAGAAATTTATTAAATTTGGAATAGTTAGCCATTTGCAGTCTTTCTGATTTTTCTATGTAGGAACTAGAAATATTATCCAAAAGTAAGTATCAAAATTAATGCACTTTAAATGTATACGGAATTCATTAAATTTGGAATAGTTAGCTATTTCTAGTCTTTCTGATTTTTCTATGTACTAACTAGAAAAGTATCCAAATTAAAACGGGAGGCTTATAAGTCTTCAGCTAGGAATAAGTATAAAAACACTACCGATTAGAATATAAACCAAGAAAACAAGGCTTCAAATGGGATGTGTTTTGTTTACATTCAGAAGCTACCTTGACAGCGCTCTGATGGTATTTCGACACACGACAGTTCCACACAAATCGAAAAACGGGAAGCAATTAAATTATATTTAACTAGAAAGTCTGGCGGTCATACGAAATGACCGCTGTTCTGGATATTATAAATTGTAATTAAAATGATTTGTACAAAGGTGTCTGCTAATTTAAACTGAATTACCCAGGGCAAGCGGCGAGGACGCCCCTTTGCTTATTGCCCCACGGGGTTTCTCCTTTCTATTTGCTTAATTGCTTAGAGTGCAATGAAGGAAACCACTGGCGGTCCATTTCTTAAGAGCCACCGCTAGCTCAATCAATAAAGGTGATTTGAATAATGAAATGTTAATTGACATGTCAAAGATCTCTTTGTACATAACATTTCTTGTGTAGATCTTTATATTACTTTTAAGCTCGCCTTGCAGAGGACCATCCATTATTTTTAATTTTACGTCCGTTCTTTCACGAACTCTGAACAGGCAACATAAAGTTGACCGTGTCCAAATGCAGGCTCAGGTAAAAAAATGCCAACACGCATAAGCGTTTGGTCCCTGAGACTTTGGATGGTCATAGCAAGGCAATTTTACAGAAATTGTCTACGTCTATTGAAACGGCAACCCTGTGCCGTGGCAAACTTCACCCCATTGGCTAGTACAGTTACGAAAGCAACCAATAAACTATTGGCGACAAACAGACACTTAAGCCGCATATATATATATATATGGGGTGAAGTAACATCATCTCCTCCGAAAACGGTTAGCTCCCGGCCTAGCGAAGCACACCGTTGGATTGCGCAGGTCCGTCACGCCCATTTTTGACCATTCGTCTTTTTGGGACTTTAATTAGCCGAGATAATTAATTAAAAACTAATTTTTCCCTATGTTTTCCCTACATTTTCCACTTCTTTCTTGGGTTTTCCCTATTAGGGAATTGGCTACTGCCAAATTCTTTTTTTTTTTCTCGAATATCTACGGAACGGCGCCAAGTTGAAATTCGAGACGCGTACCCTCGGATTCCAAAAAATTCTCTGAATCCATTGATATCGTTCTCATTTTCATACGACTTTAATCGGTCAAGATACTAATTAATTAAAAACTGCGGAAACGTTAATTTCCGCGCTCATTTTTCCGAGTGGCAACAATAAACTATCGGCAAACACACTTTAGCCGCTTATATATATAAAGAAGATAAAAATTAACTTGATACTTTCTTAAAAAATTCCTAAACACTAGCAATCAAAAAAAATTTTAGCCCAAGGAGGCGTTAGCTCAGATGGATTAATAGTCTCCAAACGGCCTTTTGCGTCAGTTCACTATAAATGTCCGTTTCACTTTCCAAATTGTTGCCACCAAATGTTATCGCCTTGTATTATAGTAAAGAAATTAACTAATGAAGAATCTGTATGAATGTATGTATGTTTCTCCCACTGTAAAAAAAACGTACCTAGAGCCATCAAATTTTGAATAACGTAGTCTTCCACCCGAACATGGGCATCTAAAAGCCCGAATTTGGAGTTTGGAAATTTTTTCTATTGGCTATTCCAAATTTTGTCAAATTTTAAAGAATTTTTGATTAACAAACTCAACGATTTCAAAGCGAGCAGTGATAACACTGTAAGGAATAAAACATTTTTATCTCCAGCGCCGTGAGCCTGTCTATCGGAAATTCTAAAGATATGCCGTTTTTAAGTATTTTTTGCCAAAGGGTTTTTAAGTAGTTTTAGCCCAAATGTTCTCGAAACGTGTATGTGTGTGTTAATGAAGAAAAGCCCCTTTGGCCGTAATATAAAATCTAAGAAGCTTTCAAATTTTTTCTACTCAACTGTATTAATTCTCCTTTTTATCATTCAGAAACGGAAGCAAAGTCCTGATGAATTTTACGCAATGGAATTAGTCGAAACCGCTGGGATATCTGTACAGCCAGGTTACTTCTTCGGCCAAAGACCAGAAACATATCATTTTCGGTAAATGTGTTTTATTCAAGTACAAAATATTAATTTATTTCATAAGTTGGTATTTTTTAATTACGTAATGAAAATAACGCTGCAACTTGAACTGAATGTATATTTTTGTTTTTCTTTTGTCTAGATTAACAATCCTGCCTCAGACGGACAAATTAAAGATAATCATACAACGCATTCTTGAGTTTCATTTGCAATTCTTAGAGAAATACAAGGACTGAATTTGGTTTGAGGAATGTCACTCTTCTTAAATATCAGTGTTGAATTACTTATTCAAAGCATAAATTTCTATAAAACGTAATTCTTGGACAGGTTTGAAAAATTGTGCCTTTAATTTGTTTCAGATATAATTTACTGTAGCAAAATTAATAAATTAAAGTATTGCTGGAAAAACTGAATACTGTATTGCTGTCATTACGGCATTTTTCATTTTTAATTCCCGAAATTTACAAATTTATAAAAATATTGTCGAATAAATTTCATTTCTAGCCTTTATATAAAAGATTCCTTATATTTTATTAAAAAGACATGTATTTAAGATGAATTCCTTCCATATTTTATAGAAAGACTTTCAAATAGGAAGAGAAATAAACAAATAGCGATTTTCACTAGTAACTGGCATGCCGAAAAAATATCCGGTGTACCAGAAGTTAATAGTAATTATTATTTTTAAAAAAATTATTATAAATGCCATGATACTGTTACGAATTTTGTATACATGTAAATAATTATAGCGAAGTTATACGTAAATTATGATATCTCTTCCTTAATGTAATGTGAAAGGACTCAGGATGCCAAGCATTGCCGGAAAAATGGGGTTACAGGGATAAGTCCATTTTATATTGATGTAAATAGTTATCTTGCCAAAATGGCAAGATAACTATTTACATCAATACAAGTTTGGCTTTATCAAGTTGTCAAGTTTACGTTTGGCTTTATCTTGCCAAAATGGTAAGATAAAGCCAAACTAGCAATGGTTTTATTGACTAATTTTTGTTGCCAAATTTGAAGAAAATCGTTAAAAGTCTCCAAGATTGGCTAGGCAGTTATATAATTATAGCAGTTACAGTTATGTAATTATCTGGATTAAAATATCACCAGATGGAAATTTTAATCCAGATAATTATATAACTGTAACTGTATCCGGCCCTATGTAACTGTAATTGTTTATTCCTTCCGGCAAGTTCGAGAAATCGAAGGCACAGGAAATTTCTCGGAGGACGGGATTAAACTGTATAAGATTGGAAAGAGCATCGGTTTGAAGTATAGTTAACAACTGATTTCAGAGTTTAGCTCAGAGTATTGAGAGAAATGTAAGATCACCGAAGCTTTTTGCATTGACTTGTATTTAACGTTCTTTACAGTTTGAAGTGGTAACTATTGATTGTGCTCTGTCCTACTGAGATCTCTGCGAGTGCTTTTGTGTGAAGATATCCAGAACTAATATTTTTGGAAAGGTAAATTTCATCAAGTAATCATCACTTCTGTATGCATTCAATCCGTACGCAAGTTACAACTTTTGGTAACAGGTGACAGCAGGGCCGGACACCCGGACGGCTTTCTAAGACTACTCGGATGTTGTCCAAACCCTGCAACTATCCAGAACAACTCCCTCCCGGTGTCTCCGAAAGACCGCATCGGGAGTTTATTGAAAACTCATTTAAGGATACAATAATGCTACATTGATTACCAAATTACAGTTTCCACATCACAATTGCCGATTATCGCATTACATCCACATTTCAGTTGCATTAAAGATACAATAATGCTACATTGATTATCACTACTATTACAATTAAAACTATTACATGAAATAACAGTTACGTAATAAAATACTAACTACATTACAAGCCACTAATAGCAATTATAAAATACTAACTACATTACCAACCACTAATATCAATTGTATAAACGCATTACCAACTTTCTAATAAAAATTACATGAAAGAATAATGTTATTACAAAACGCGTAAACATACAATTGGTGACAGTGGGATTGAATTCCCGGGACAAGAGCGATGAAGGAGCAAGTAATACAACTTGTAACAGAACACTAGAGGATAGGCAAAGAAAATCCTACGGGGCAAGAGTTGGTGACTGCCTTTGCATCATTCCAAGAAAAAAGGAAAAGGTCAACTCTTAGAAAAGAGATGAAAGCAGACCAAGAAAAATATGGAGGCCGACCAAGAAAAAAATGGAAAGGGTCATCAATATGAACATGGGCCAAGAAAAGATGAAATTAGCCAAGGAGAGATGAAACCGGTTTAAGTAAAGATGAAAGAGGCCGAAGGAAAGATAGAAATGGTCGTAAAGTCAGTTCAACAAAAGATTTGAACATGTCAAGAAGAAATGGGAAGAGAATGCCATAACAGAAAAATCATTTGAGATTGTGGAAGGCTGAATAGACACGGTTTAAAATAAAGTTAAAGGAATCGAATAAAGTTGTTTCTGCTGTAGAACAACAAATCGAAAAATGAATTTCTGCTCTCGAATAAAAAATTGAAGAAAGAATTTTTGCTATCGAACAACAAATTGAAGAAAGAGTTTTCTGTGTTCTCGAACAAACAATGCAAGGTAGAGTTTACGTTATCGCCAAGGCAGCTGAGACATTGAAGAAATCAACAGTGACAGCTGGAAACAATTCTATCAAGTGTAAATTCGAATATATGTCGTCTCTAAAGCCTTCCAGGTAACCATACCTAGTGCATACCTCCTGAAAAGTGTACAAGAACTGGTTTTATATAGTTTCAGACGCGATCGGACGAGATTCCGAAACTAAAATCTGTCGCCTCACCACAGACGCAATGGATAGCCTTCAAATTCTGCCAGTAAACCCGAGGCTAAACATGGAAGCTCTATCCAGAGCACTGTAGCTGCGCTTTGGAAAGAAGTATTTAAAAGATATAGCATGATTCAGATACAATATCGCCAACAGAGGAAACCGGAAACCTTCCAGATGCTCGCCATAGAAAGACTGTCTCATCTTGCCTTTTAGGGCCTAGCCGAAACAAGGGAAATCCTTTCCCCACACTTCTTCGTCGATGTCATCCGAGATCCTGAGATACTGGAAGCTCTAAGAATGGCGGATGTGAAGGGTCTAAAAAGTGCTTTAGTGTAGGCCATAAAGTTTGAGTGTAAGCCTAAAGTTCGAGTCAGCCCAGCAAGCAACCCCTGGAGTCCGCTACCCAAACAGAGCTGCTCATTTCCAGAAGCCAGTGGGTTAAGCGACTTCTCATCTAAACGATTTAACCAACAAGTCAGTGCCTTAAAGCGTGAACACTGCAAAACATGGCAGCTAAGACAACTACCAGAAAGAAAGAGGGAAAATTAATCAGAGTCCATATCACTTGGCCAAGGTTGCCAGATATTGAGAAACTTCATTTAAAAAATTTCTGCAGTGAGTGGCGATAGCAATCGATTCCCCATGGGACATACAAAAAAATCCAAAGGGATTCAAAAAATGGAAAGTAACTGATCTAGACGCCGCCCTAGGTTACCCTCCAGACTGTGCACAATAATAAATTCACTAACATTGCAGAAATCGTTAATATCATGGATAGTTAAACATTGGCATCACGTTTCGTATTGCCACCTAACACCACACAGCATATGGTTATGCGCCACTGACCAGGCTTCCGACCTAAGGTAAGACCAAACGTAATGATGCCTGATCAGTGGAAAAGACAACAAGCAGTCACCACAACAAGGCTGCACAGCAATTCCTGATTAATTGCTCTTAATCAGGAATGTCACAGAAAAGTACTTTACAAAAATGATTACAAGACATCTTGCATAAGATGCTACGTATGACAATAAGCAAAACGTCAGTGTATAATATTATAGTAAAATAATATAGTGCATTTAACAATAAGATATATGAATATATAATTTAATGGTATCCCATATATAATGCCTTAATATTATGAGAAGACTATGATAAAGGAATATATTTAAGTTAAAACGACTAAATGTGAAATATCACACATTAATTTATGTTGTTGACATAATAACTGTAGTATGCAAAAGGTTTTATAACACATAAAAGCATGGATTATGACCAGTTAAGATGATTTAAATAGGTGATATATGAGTGAACCAAATACGATAATCATTGTGGGTGATACATTAGTTTGTTTTAAAACAGTGCCCCCTTACTCTACACATCCTTACAAACTTACAGCACATAATTAAGATTCAATGAAACAGTTATACTATATTAAAAGATATGATAATAATTTTAGAAAATACTTGACTGGATTCAATAACATACGCAAAGTATTATAACAATTAAATCAATTCTTGAGGTGTTTATGATTTAAATTAAAAAAAATATGCAAATATTGCAAAGTAGTAAAAAAGGGGGGAAAGGGATGCGCATTTAATTTTGGAAAAAAAATTTTTTAAAAAACGCATACATGAAAGTATAAACATTGCAAACTTTAAAAAAAAAAACACAAAAAACACAAAAAAGTCAAAAAAAAACCCTGAGTAAGAAGAAGAGTTAACATTGCTTCTAATTAAAGAAGACCGTTTTGATATCATTAAAAGGCAAACAATGAGTTTTTCTTACAAACTTATATTATGAGCTACAAAAATTGTCAGTGCAATTTAAATATACAGATAGTATATAAAAAGTATACTGGTGAAAATAATATTAGAAAGAGAAAATCAACAAAACTTACTAATTGAAATTTGATTCAGGGAAAGAAAATGTATTTAAGTTGGAACAAATTTTTATACAATTACTAAGTTTACTTAAAGCTCTTTTTGATTTCAATAATTGACTAAGCCAATTTGCCCTGTATTTGCCCCTGAAGGTTGTCGTAGATGAAAAACTTTGGTATGTACGCAATTAAACGCATAGTGATCAGGTGATCTTTGATGACCGCAGCTCCATAAGTCGTCCTCTGATAGGCCAGATCTATTCAAGTAAGTCATAAAAGGTCCATGATCCAGTTGTATAATTCGTGATTGTATTAGAGAACGTAAATAAATCAGAAGATATTTTGGAGATGAACTTGTATGTTCTGCAACCCGTTGTACCGTTATTCCAGCGAAACTGCCATTCTTGTAACATACTAACGAATGTCACTTTCTTAAGGAAAGATCCTGGAAATTGGTAACGCATATTCTGGTAGGATGTATGCCCATATCCGCATTTTTGGCTAATTTGTCTGCTTGCTCATTCCCTACTATTCCTGTGTGTGCCGGTACCCAACAAAAGCTCAGTCTTAGTTCTAACGGAGATCTGAGTAGGAGTTTTTGAATTTCAAATACTAAAGGGCTTCTTGATTGTGTTCCAGCAGTAGCTTAAAGACTTGATTGTGAGTCGGTACAAATTATAACTCTATTTGAAAAATTTATCTATTTAAAAAAGGGGGGAAAGGGATGCGCATTTAATTTTGGAAAAAAATTTTTTAAAAAAAGCATACATGAAAGTATAAACATTGCAAAC